TTTGTATTTTCGAAGCTCAGTTTTTGAACCCAAGGGTAAGACTTGACACTTGTGCCTATTAAATCTCATCTTATTAACTTCATTACAATGTTCTAGCGGGCAGGGGTGGGGAACCTTTGGCCTCAAGGCCACAGGTGGCCCTCTAGGTCCTCAAGTATGGCCCTTTGCCTGACTCCAAACTTCACTGAGGTTTGGTTCCCTATCCCTGGAATCTAGCCTGTCAAGATCTTTTTTTAATCCTCTCTCCTCCAGTGTGTTACCTTTGTGTCACCTATAGCCTTGAGGAGCATGAGGAAGACGCCATCTCAGGCCTTTACCCGAGTCATCAGTAGCAATGTTCAATAGCAAGGGTCAAGCCTAGATCCCTGAGACACACTGCCCAGAGCTGCCTTCCAAAGTGACTTCCATCCCTCAGTAATTACCCTTTGTGAATCAGTCTAGTCAATCAGTTCTTAATCTGTTGAATTATATTATCATCCAGCCTACATCTCTCCATCTTTCCAGTCAGGCAGTCAACTAAGCATTTATTAAGCACTTACTGTATACAAGGCATCATGCTAAATGCTGGGGATACAACTACAGGCAGAAAGACAATATCTGTCCCCCAGGAGTTTACCTTCTAATGGGGAAAGACAACACATAAAAGGAACCTAAAAAAGGAGTAGTGGTGGGATGGAGAGGGCGAGGTGAAACTTGTGGAAAAAGAGGCCTGGGTCACCCTCCTAAAATGGAGGTCCTGGGAGAAGGACCAGCCAATCAACGGGAGAGGCCCAAAAGGGTGGAGGTGAATTCCAGGGCTAGAGGAAGGTTTCAGGATGAAAAACTGGGGCATGGTAGAAGTCTTCCATACAGCCTAGAGAGGAATGAGAATTTCCACAAGAATAGCATGAGAAGTTTTAGCAACTTTTTCCCTAAAATTCAGGTAAGTGATAGCTATAGTACTCCCAAGACCTACCAGTTAAGTAATCCTCTTAAATAAGAAAATAAAATTAGCCTGGCACAACCTGTTCTTGTGGAAGCCAAACTGTGTGGTCACTGCTTCCTTTTCTAGATGCCCCCTAATCTTTAATAATATTAATTCCTTTAATAATGTGTCCTTGAATTTTGCCAGAAATCAAAGTCAAGCTCACTACCCTGTAATGCTTGGACGCCATTCTCTTCCCTTTTTTGAAAATTAGGACATTTATCCCGCTCCTATCCATCAGTACTTTCCCACTCTTGATCATCTTTCAAAGATCACTGGCGGTGGTTCAGCAATCACATCTAACAGTTGTTTTGGTTTTTTCCAGGACCCAAGGATGTCACTTGGGTCAAGTGACTTGAACTCATAATCGTAGTCAGATACTCTTTTTGTTCTATTCAGTCATTTTTTAGTCATATCTGACTCTCCGTGACTCCATTTGGGGTTTTCTCGGCAAAGATATTGGAGTAGTTTGCCATCCCTTCTCCAGCTCATTTTATAGATGAGGAAATGAGGCAAACAAGTTAAGTGACTTGCCCAGGGTCACACAGCTGGGAAGTGTCTGAGGCTGGATTTGAATTCAGGAAGGTGAGCCCAGGAGAAGACTGCAGGCCAGCGCTCTATCCGCTGCTCCACCGAGACGCTCTCTTTCTCTCTCTTTACTCATATTGGGTACCATCTTCTTACCAACCATATTTATTTATTCTTTCCAGAGCAAAGATTATTCCTCTTGATGGAAAAACAAATACCTGTTAAGGTTGTGGTTGCTGTTGCTTGGCCATTCAGTTGTATCTGACTCTTTGAGTCCCTACGGACCATAGCACACTGAGGACCATTGACTTATTCCATGCCTGGTTCATAGTCTTGTTCACTCCAAAGTTCTTTGGTGACACTTGTTCATGTCATGTAATCCGTTCATTCATGACATTATTCATATCATATCATGACATTCATTCCATAGCCACCCTCTCAGCTCCCATGACCTAAAATCTTCACTGTGTCTCAGCCACCCACAGGAATGTTCCTATCTTAGACTTCACCATCACCCAAGTCTGTTTGGATCCCATGATCCTGAATTCTAAAAATCGTCCTCAGTAATCATCATCTCTTATCTCAATTGTCATCTGTGCAGCAAGACAATCCTTTCAGTTCTCTGTAATTGACTTTTTATGATAACAGCTGTTCCAAACCCTCTCCTCATGCCCATCAACATTGCCATCCTCAACTTTCTTTCAGCTGACCTCACCTTCTACTTTATCAAGAAAGTTCTCCACCTCCAAAATCTCTGCATTTTTAGTCATTCTCTTATTTTTTGCTTCTGTCTCAGAGGATGGAGTGACTTTTCTTTAACAGGGCTGACTCCTCCACTTGTGCCTTCAATCCCATCCTCCCTTGGGCAGCATGATGTAATGGATAGAGCATTGGTTTAAAGTTAGGAAGACCTGGGTTCAGATTTTGCTTAAGATCACTTACTAGCTGTGTGACTGTAAGCTAGATGGTTAACCTTCTTAAGCCTCAGTTTCCTCGTCTGTAAAATTAGGATGTTGGAAGAGAATTTAAAAGTCCAGCTCAAAATCTACAATCGTGTCATCTCAGAGCTCTTCAGTCTTTCCCTATCAACTGCCTCTTTTCTTTCTGTGTATAAACATGTTTAAGTGCCCCGATGCCCACCCTATTCTTCAGAAACAACAACAAAAGCCTCCTTTGTGACCCTACCATCCCCTCGAGCTATTGTCCTGACTCTCTCTTCCCTTTCACAGCCCAAAGCCTAGAAAGTTGTTTACGCCTGTGTTCTCACTTCTCAATCCTTTTCACTCAGGCTCTAATTCCACCACCCACCAGTAATCAAGATTACACTAATACCTTAATGCTTTCTCACTCTCCATCCTTTCTCTGCCTTTCTATAGATTTGACATTACTGATCACCCTTTTGGATGCTGTTCTAGGCTTTTGTGATACTCATCTCTTCTGGTTCTTCTACCTTTCTGCCCTCTCCATCTTAGCACTCTTTTCTAGTTCATCATCCATCCCTCACCCCCTGAACCTGGGTGTCCTCCAGAATTCTTCCCTGAGCCTTCTTTTTTTTTTCTTTCCCTTCACTCTTGTTTGCTGATTGCATCCACTCCTAAGGATTCAACTCTTCACTTCCATGCCAGTGATTTCCTGTTATATATCCAGCCCTAAGCTCTTACCTGAATTCGACCACCTATGGGACATCTTCATCTGGATGCTCCATATTTCCAAGATGGAATTCATCGTTCTTCCCCCTAAATCTTCCTCCCTTCCTCCCTCATGGTAGGTGCTTAATAAATGCTTGTTCTCTTCTCTTCCCCTCTAAATAGGTCTTGCTTCTAGTCTCCCCCCTCCGCAATCTATCCTTTATACAGCTGCCTGAGTAATGAAGCATTCATATGATACTTTGACCCAGGTAGGACCGAGTGTCTATTAAGAGCATTAGAGGACAGAGCCGAAGGCATCTACCCAGAGTGCTATATTTGGGTAGACCACCAATTGGCACTTTAGGCTTGAGTGGTCTCAACTCACTCATTAGAACATGTCCTTATGTTTTTATATGTAATTGGGGGAAAATATTAAACTTTTTAAAAAGCACATGTCCATTAACAGACTTGCCTGGGGTCCTGGTGGCCCAAAGCCCAGGTTTGGTTTTGTTTAGTCTTGGTCATGGATTATGAAAACTTCCGATAATAATTCCTAATGTGTGATTCCCTTAGCTCTTGCCTTTATGACCCAGAAGGACTGCTCATTCCCATGGGGACCAAATGTACCAAAGTCAGCTTTGAGTGGCAGGTGGTGACATCCCACCCACTCCACCCCCAAGTGAGGTGTAACATCATACCTCTTCCACCTCCTCGGAGATGCTTGGCATTTCCGAAGGCACACCCACAGACTGTACTCTCAACTGGAGGATCAGTGATAGGGAGCTGGAAGGGATCTTGGAGTGCACTGGATCCAATTTCCTCATTTTGCAGATGAAGAAAGCAAGGCTCAGAGGAGTTTATTGACTTACCCAGGGTAAGAGGTAGGATTTGAACCCAGGTCTTCCTGACTCCACATCCAACCATGTTACCTCTCTAATTAAGGGGAGGGAGGTCTCAATCCTCTCAAGCATTTTAGAGCCCAGCTATCAAAGAGGGAGAATGAAATTTTTCGCTTACCCCAGTCACCTCATACCATCTCACTGTATGACAGGTAATCTCACTGGAGAGGATGTTTCAGTCTATTACACTCTACTTCCATTCAACATCCCTATAATTTTCCAAACCAAAATTCTGATCTCTGGAGACCCCTCCCCCATATTGTCTCCCCCTATTAGAATGTAGGCTTCTTGAGGGCAGGGACTTATTTTTTGTTTTTGTATCCCCAGGGCTATGCACACAGTAAGCACTAAATACGTCTCTCTCCATTCATTTCCAGATCAGGACATTTGCCCACATGTATCAAAAGCAAATGTTCATGGGAACACATGTGCATGTAAACGTGCACATATGAATCCACACACAACCTAAAAACTCCTTCCTTGCCCAACAGGAAACAAGGAAGGAAACACACATTTATTAAGCCTCTACTATGTGCCAGGCACCGTGCTAAATACTTTATTACAAATATTACCTTATTTAATGGTCATGACAACTTTTGGAAATAGGTACTATTATTATCCCCATTTTACAGATGAGGAAATTGAGGCAAACAGGGTTAAGTGACTCATCCGGGGTCACACAGCTAGTAAGTGTCTGAGGCCAGATTTGAACTCAGGTCTTCTTGAAGCCAGGCCCAGTACTCCATCCACTATACCACCTAGCTGCCTACATTATTCAGACCCTTCTCTAACAAGGAGTAAAGAAGGAGGCTGTCTCTTTCACTGAGGGCTCTGGTGCTGTCCCTTCAGTGCGGGTGTAGCTGGTCCAGCTAGAGTTTGATTGGACAGAGGAGGGCCCCCAAGTTTGCGCAATGGCCCTGGCCTGTGGTGTAACTGTTTCGGCTGCTTCCTCTTCTCCAGGGGTGGAGGCCAAGCCTGAAATCTCCCTGGAGACTGTGGCTCCCACTGACTGAGGACCACCTGCGCTGGGCGACCCTCAGGGCCCAGCCACAGCAGCACACCCGGGGAAGGCCTTGGTTCAGGCTCGGCAGGTAAGCCCAGCAGAGATGGGCGGGGAATATGCAAGGCCAGGAATTGAGGACAGACAACCTTGGCCACCAAGCGAGGAGGGCAGAAGGGAGGGGGCAATGCCTCAGGGCACGGGGCTGGGCTGCCACGACCAAGCTGGCAGGCTGAGGAGAAGGGCACTCCTTAAACTGGGAGAATGGGCAGCATCTTCCCTAGAGGAGTTCATGGGAGATAAAATTGGAAGAGGCTTAGAAATCTAGCCCATCCTCCTCATTTTATGAGTGAGGAAACTGAGGCCCAGAGAGTATAAGTACTTGCTGAAGTCACAGTTAATAGTAGAATCAGGATTTGAATCCAAGTATTCTGAATCCTCCATACTTCAACTCCTGGACCCTGTCTTCAGTACCTCAACCCTCTTGCTTGTTGTCTAGAGAAGGAAAATTATTCTGGCTGGTGATGGACATAGGGCGATTGCCATGGCTCACAGCTCAGTCTGGACTAGGCACTATTCAGTCTCTGCCAGAGTCGGGCAGTGTATACACACACACACACACACACATGCATGCACACACATTGTGGTGATTCATAAGATAGTGAGCTCCTTGTTATTACAGGTATCAAAGCAGAGGCAGGATACTATAGACTGTATTAATTCTTCTAGATGGACTGAATGACCTCTAAGGTCTTTTGCAATTCAAAAATGAGATGATTCTATGTTTTTATACATATACTCACATACCATACCCACATATATGCATACCTGAAAGTAGATTAAGATATACACTTACACAAACCCATATATACATGTGCTTCTCACACACAGAGAATACACACAGGAATCATAGAACCTCAAGGTTCATAAAATCATACATGTAGAGCTGGGAGGGACCATAGAAGCTTATCTATTCCTACCCTCTTATTTTGCAGATGAGGAACCAGAAACCCAGGGAGGTTGATTCACAGATGACCTCTGAGTCCCCTTCCAAAACTTGGGTTTTATAATGCTATACATTTAAAGTCTATGTGCACATTAACACACTCATTTCCTCTCTTACAGGAAGCCCTTTGCGACCAGAAGCATGGGTGATTCAGACCCACTATCTGCCACACCCCATCAAGATCTCCCCTCCGCATCTCTGCATTACCCTTACAGCAACCTTGGTGAGTGAGCCTGGCTCTTGGAGAGCCACACCGGTCAGCCACAGGCTGGAGTGAGGGGTTGGGGTGATGGTGGAAAAAGAGGAGCACAGCAAAAGCTAGAAAGGGATAACCCCCCAGGCCAGAGCCGGAAAATTCCTAGGATGGTTTCTCTGGGACTTAGTTTCCTCAATTATAAAATGAGATGGTTGTACTAGATGATTCTGAGGTTTCTCTCAGCTTTGACATTGCACATTCAAAGATCTCTCCTAGCTTTAACATTCTGTGTTCTAAGGACCCTCCCAGCTCTTACATTCTTTGTTCTAAGGGCCCTCACAGTTCTGAGGGCCCTCCCAGCTCTGACATTCTAGGTTCTAAAGGCCCTCCCAGCTCTGACATTCTGTGTTCTAAGGACCCTCCCAGCTCACATTCTTTGTTCTAAGGACCCTCTCAGCTCTGACATTCTAGGTTCTAAAGGCCCTCCTAGCTTTGACATTCTGTGCTCTAAGGACTCTTCCAACTCTGACATTTTGGGTGTAAGGTCTCTTCTGACATGGTTTTTTCTAAGGATCTCATGGCTCTGACATTTGGAGACTCTGTATGCAAAAGCCCCAGTTCACAGAATAAAAAATGTCAGAGCTAGAAGGGACCTCAGCATCCTTGAGTCACAGGACCATCGATCTAGAAGTTATTTAGTTTAACCCCCCCTTCATTTTATAGATGAGGAATTTAAGTCCCAACAAGGGTATGTGACTTGCCCAAGGTCACCCAGGCAGAGCTCAGATTCAAATTCAGATCTTTTGTCACCAAGTCCAACACTCCACTGCACCCAAACCAACCTCGTCATCTTCTCAATGAGGTCCCTGAAATCCAGAGAAGTTATATGACTTCTATGTCCCAAGGTCACTCAATGCCAGAGATGAGACTAGAACCCAGCTCTCCTGACTCCTAACCCCAGGGCTTATCCTAGCAGGAAAGTCGACCATGGCCCCTTTCCTTCCCCAAACATGACCTTGACTCCCTACATCCTACTGCAGGAGAGGGGCGGGCCCACTTACTGCCCTCTAAACCCTGCCGCTCACGGACATCAAGACTGTCCTCTACTGACCTATCGCCCCCTCCCTTGCCTCAGAAGACCCTCAGCCGGACCCGCTCTCTTCCTACCAGCAACACTCTTCACTACTCCTCTGGCTACAGTTCCCTTCCCAAGAGGGAGTATCAACCCAATGCAGGCCAAACCTCCTGGGAGAAACTGAGGAGACCTTTGCTGGAGTCTTGGAGCCTGGAAGAGATCCCATGTGGCAGGGTGAGCCACTCTGGCCCAGACCCTCGCCGACTGACCTTCGCTACCCCTGACTGGGAGCTAGGTCATTTCTTTCAGGATTTGGACAGCACCCAGGAGGTATACAAAGTGCTCAGAGGCCTCCAGTTGGATTCCCTGCGCTGCATAGAGAACCGGCTGGGAGCCCGGCTGGCCGGGCGGTGGCCTGGCAGGGGTGGTCCGGGCCAGGTCTTCCGTCTGCTGGATGGCAAGCCGTGTGCGGAGAGTGGGGATGCCTGGTACTACAGGGTGGTTCGGATCACCGAAGACACCTGGCACCTCCTGGCTGCCAAGGTGAGTGCCTGGGGGGCATTGCCCTTCCATGGGAGGGTCAACTGGAAATACCAAGTTACATAGAGAGGAAAGGTGGGGACCCTAGGCCTGGGGAGGAGATCCTTCTTGGGCAGCGTTAGGAAGAATCTTTGACTACAGGGCAGACAGGGTGGAAGAGGACTGTGGGGAGATAGGACATAGTGGGAAAGAATCCTGGACTCCAAGGTGGGATAAAGTCAGGCTATGAAGAGGAGCAATCATAGGCCACATATGGGAAGAATTGGAGGCGTGGGGGGGTGTGTCACAAAGGAATCATGGGATATGTGGGGGAGAATCCTTGGAGCAGAATTATGAGCCGTGTGGAAAGAAAATCATAATAGGGTACCAAGATGAGAGTGTGACCAGACAGGGAAAAGGGGCCCCAAAGAGGAAGCCAGAAGGACAACTTTTGCCTAATCCTTACTGTTCTGCTCCCCAATTTCCTCTGCTTAATGGGCTAAGGCATGACAGTACATGCAACCTGGAGCAGCCACTAGGAGAAAGGGGACGAAGATAGGAAGGACTTCTGGCCCTGACCCCAGCGTTCCTTTGTTCCCTCAGGTCCACAAGCCCAGGTCAATGACCTCTGAGCCCCTGGATGCTGAGCCTCCTGGGCTGGCCCTCCAGGCCACACTCAAGCCTCATTTTAATGTGCAGAGCCTGTGTGGCCAGCTGCCAGCAGGGACACTGCCAGAGGCTCCATGGCAAGGGCCAGTGGCTCTCGTGGCCGAGGTGCCCACTCAGACTGTGGCCGATTGGGTTGGCGCTAACAAGGAGCTACATCGGAGCTGTCCAGGACAGTATGAGCACCAGGTTTGCCTATTGCTGCTCCAGCTGTGCGGGGCCCTGAAACAGCTGCATAAGGACAGTCTAGGCCATGGGGACCTGAGGCCTGAGAACCTGCTCTTGGCATCACCCCGGGGCCAGCCTACAGGGGCCCTGCCCCAGCTGCTTCTCACAAACTTTGCCAGGGCCCGGCCACTGGTGCCGCAGCTTCCTGCACGGGAAGATGAGCTTCAGCTGGGCCTCCTTATCTACGAAATGCTGGGCCAAGGCCCTGCGCTGGCCCAGGCCCGGGGGGCATCCCCACCACCTCTGCCAATCCGCTCAGACTACTCATTGGCTCTGGCCCGCTTGACTCCACACTTGCTACAGGCTGAGCCGGACAGCCGTCCCTCTGTGGCCCAGGTCCGAGTTGCCCTGCAGACCATCCTGTGGGGGCCTGGGCCTAAGCTCCAGGCCCAAGGCCTCCCCCTGGGGCCCTGGCTGGACATCCACCGGGCCTTGCTGCCACTGGAGTTGGCCGAGCGGCTGGCAGGGAGTGGGGAGGCAGCCGGACTTGAGGACTGGCTCTGTTGCCAGTATCTAACTGAGGCCTCACAACATATGGTGGGCTGGGCTCTAGAGCTCCTCTGGGGAGAGCTGACAGCTGCTGGGGACTGAGTGCCCTTGGAAATTCCCAGGGAGTCTTCTTAAATCTCTAACAGGCTCCCAGCTCCAGATACATTAGAGAATAGGTATATATTACCTGACCTGCCTGGGAACTTCGTCTTCTGATCCCCCCACTTTTCTGTCCCGTCCCTCACCCCCAAAAGCCTTTATCTTTTGTAGAAAGAGCATTGACCACAGGGCTCTCTGAACAAATTTCCTGCCTGCCCCCACCTACCCCTGCAAAATCCCACTGAATGAAGGCTCCTTGTTTTTAATCTAAATGTAAATATTGATTCAGAATGTCAGAAGGGACCTGAAGTTCAATATTTTCATTTCATATCTGAGACCAAGAGAGGGGAAACTACTTACTAAGAGGTCACCCAGGAAAGCAATATTGGAGTCAGGATTAGAACCCAGGTCTCCAGGCTGGGGTTCTTTGCTTGACGTCCCACTTTCAGAACATCGATCATTAAATGAGATAATATTTGTGAAGATTTTTATTTGATATTTTATTTGAGATAATATTTACTCATATGGACTATTTGTGCCTGACTTGAGGTAGAGACTTCCAAGTTTGTATTGATCTGACCGGCTATAGTTGGACATGCTGTACTTTGACTGCGACACAGTGATGTGTCATTTGAGTCATCTTCCAGAACGAAGGACAGCAACAACCGAGCTTTTATGAAGCACTTAGCACAGGGCCTGGCACATAGTAGGTGCTTTGTAAATTCCTCCCCGGCACCTCTCTCCATCCAGGCTGACTCCCACAGAGTAGAATATCAATCATCAGTTTGGATTCTAATCTGGCTTTGGTCAGGGCCACCAAAAACAGAGGTTATTCTGGGTTACTTTCTTCTTCCTAGAATTGTAAGGTTCTTAGTCCCCTTTTTCTGCCACTACTTTGGAAACAGAAGGGGACCACAAAGGACTGCATGCCCCCTTGTACAAACATGTCTATTGTAGCTCATGGGATCAGGGATTCAGATCATTCAGTCCAGTCCCCTCATTTTACACGAGAAATGAGGTGACTAGACCAGAGTCACAAGGATAATAAGTCTTTGAGGTAGAATTCAAACCCAGGTCTTCTCATGTCCAAATCCAGCAGCTTGTTAGTTGTGCCATACCACCTCTTGATACTTACATATGTACATGTAGTCTCCCCAATAGAGTGTAAGCTCCTTGAGGGCAGGGACTTTTTCATTTTTGTCTTTGTGCCCTCAGTGCCTCACTCAGATACAGGGACACAGTAGGTGCTTAATAAATGCTTATTGAATGATTGATTGATTGGCTGAGAGTGGATTGATATAAAAACCCTCACCTGCATCCCAGCTTCCCAGTGTTGAGCCTTCCACACTTATCTAGGTTGTTTCACAGTCAGTCTCTGAGTCCATACCTTTTCCAATGTGGTAGGACCTTCTAGGGGTGGCTAGGTGGCACAATGAATAGGGCACCGGATCCAGAGTCAGGAAGACCTGAGTTCAAATCTGTCCTCAGACACTTACTAGCTGTGTGACCCTGGGCAAGTCATTTAACCCTGTTTGCCTCAGTTCTTCATATATAAAATGAACTGGAGAAGGAAATGGCAAACCACTCCAGCATCATCGCCAAGAAAACTCCAAAAGAAGTCACAAAGAGTCAGACATGATCGAAAACAGCTAAACGAATAAAACAGGACCTGGCCAGTTTGTGCTCTAATGGCATAGATTTCAAGAGCCCAGGGTTTCCTCCAAACCACAAGGAGGCGATAGAGGAGAAACACAATGGATGTCAAGGGCGTAACTGACCAGAGAAATAGATGCACTGGTCACGTAGTAAGGGGGAGGGGTGACAGATGGATGGACCAAATGTTGTATCAGTACACCTACAGCAGTAGGTACAATGTAGTGTCGAGGTATCTAACTCCAACAGAAAGGGGGGGCCACCCAACTGTAGGTAGGGATCCCTGGTGCCTGCACATCAACTTAGAAAACCACACATGTTTATTTGTTTCTTTTTTTAAATTAATACATTGACACATTAAAATCAGCTAGGAACTACATTTTAATCTGGTTTGGGCTGCTGTCCAGAGTGTTGTGAGTCGCATGCAGCCCACCAGCTCTGTGTTTGACACCTCTGGTGTAGTGGACAGGGGTCTAAAGTTGAAGCCATAAACACCTAGGTTCAAATCAGACACTTACAATCTTCGTGACCCCAGGCAAATCACTTAACCTCTCTGAGGCTCAGTTTCATCATCTGTAAAATGGGGGTGTGATAAGGGTTAGCTTAAATACCCTCTAATGTTCTTTCTAGGTCTAAATCTATGGTACTGTGACTGTAAGGAAAGTAAGAACTAGAAGCAGTCCAAATTTCCAACAATAGAAGAATTAAATAAATCACGGTCCATTGTTGCAATGGAATACTTAAAAAAAAAACCAAAACACAATTAAAATGGAAAAGTATGAGAAATGAAAAGAAATCTGGAAAGGACTTTCTGAAATGATGAAAATAGAAAAAAAAGAGCAGAACAGAACACATGATGACTTAAGACACACAAGGAAAGCTGGAAAAGAATGAAGGGAAGAAGAATCCTAATGGGGATTTCAGAGTGAGGAACCGAAAAAGCATTCAAATCAATTCATTATGCATTAAGTCAACTAATTTAAATGTAAATTGTATTAAGCAAATACAGTTATTTATATCCAACTAATCAAGAAGCATGTACTAAGTGCCTACCATGGGCCACACTCTGAGCGAGGTGTGTGGGGCACAAAGACAAGAGTGAGACAGCCCCTGCCCTCAAGGAGCTTACATTCTTTTTTTTTTAATTAATTAATTTATTTTAGTTTTCAACATTCACTTCCATAAGCTTTTGAGTTTTAAATTTTTCTCCCCTCCTTCCCTGTCTCCCTCCCCAAAACGGCATGCAATCTGATATAGGCTCTCCATATACATTCCTATTAAACATATTTTCACATTAATCTTTGTAAAGAAGGAGGAACCACAAGAAAGAAGAAACAAAACAAAACAGAAGAAAAAAAGAGCAAATAGCACGCTTTGATCTGCATTCAGATTCCACAGTTCTTTCTCTGGATGTGGACAGCATTTTCCATAATGAGATGTCTTAGATCCTTGCATTGCTGAGAAGAGCTAAGTCTATCAAAGTCAGTCATCGCACAACGTGCGATGTTGCTGTATATAACATGGCTATTACTGTATACAAAGTTCTCCTGGTTCTGAGGAGCTTACATTCTACTAGAGGGAAACAGCATGTTCACAGATACTGTTCAGTTTCTAACAAAACATTTTGTGTTTTAAAAAAGGCCAGAAGAAGATCCCTAGCTCATGCCTAGGCTCATCCCAGATGTAGAGCTAGCAGGAAATACTGGCATCACTGAGTCTAACCCCTCCATTCTACAGATGAGGAAATGGCAGCCCAGAGTTGTGACTTTCTTAGGGTCCCACTGCTAACAAGTGTATGAGGACTGGAGCCTTGTTCTTTTAAGTCTCCAGTCACTAAACCAAACTGTCTCTCATGTTGACTAGATATTCTACAAAGACTACGGAAAAATGAATTGCAAAAGATGAGAATCATGCAATCAATCAACAAGCATTTATTAAGCACCTACTATATGCCAGGCACTGTGCTAGGTGCAGGGGAGAGAATTACAAAGAATGAAACAGTCCTTTCTCAAAATGAACTTACATTCTAATAAGTACGTATAAAAATACCGATAGCATAACTATCAAGTGAGTAAATACATGCATATATAGTGTGTCCTAAAAGTACTACTGCAGTTTTGAAGCTTAATAGTTTCCTTTGGGACACCCTGTATGTGTGTGTGTGTGTGTGTGTGTGTGTGTGTGTAGTCACACATCTAGGTCACACAGATAGATATACACATATGTGTGTATATATATACACACATATGTATATATATATAGAGAGAGAGAGAGAGAGAGAGAGAGAGATGTGGATATGTATACATTATATACAATACACATGTACATGTTATATATAATGTATACATGTACACATACATGTATATACACATTGTGTGTTTATATTTGTGTATGTGAAGTGAAGGCTGTCCCCCACATGTAGCATGTAGGAGTCACATGGCTCAAAGGGAGGCTGAATAAACATTTCTAGCCTCTTCTCCTCCTACCCTTCTCCAAGGGAGACTCTATTTCCTGCCAGGAGGAGAAGCAGGAGGTTGGAGATAGAAGCTTGGTCATTTGTTTGATCCCTTAAATATTATTAATCTAGGGCAGGGGTGGGGAATCTGTGTACTCAAGGCTCCATGTGGCCTTTAGGTCCTGGGGTGTTGCCTTTTGACTGAGTCCAAGTTTTACAGACCAGATCCTTTTATTAAGGGGATTTGTTCTGTGGAGTTTGGATTCAGTCAAAGGCTGCATTTGAGGACCTAGAGAGCCACGTGTGGCCTCGAGGCCGCAGGTTCCCCACCCCTGGAGCCTAGGGGATGTAGTTTTCAGGTTTGAGCTAAGTGTCCAATAGCTCTTCATTAATGGGGACAGGAGGACCCAACTCTTCGCACACCAAATACTAGTTGCACTATGAACACACATAGGAAGTAGCAATCCATTTATCAAGTCAACAGGAAAATAAAAATCAAAGAACGTACACATGGAAGAGTATATACTGGACAACACAGAGTGCAGGAGCGCTCCATCGAGAACAAGGTAACTCAGCCCGATCAAGAGAGAGTGTCCCAGCAGCAGCTAGAGGGCGCAGTGGATAGAGCACCGACCCTGAAGTCAGGAGGACCTGAGTTCAAATCTGGCCTCAGACCAAACACTTGACACTTACTAGCTGTGTGACCCTGGGCAAGTCACTTAACCCCAATTGCCTAAAAAAAAGAAAAAACAGAGAGTGTCCCAGAACTCACCCAAAGGGAAAATCCCCTGAATTTTCTAGTGTGGCAAGTTGGGGACAGGATCACAATGGAGACTGTTAGCTCCCGCCATGCTGGCTTCTTCCCAGAGTCCTTTTCTCCTTCAGCAACCTGAAGTGGGGTTGGAATCATTCATCTTGTCTCTTGGAGTCCTGGAACCAGAAGCACCTGAAATAACTGCAAAGCCTGAAGAGACTTTAAGAGACAGGGGCAGGTAGGTGGCGCAGTGGATACAGCTCTGGCCTTGGAGTCAGGAGGACCTGAGTTCAAATCTGGCCTCAGATACTTGACACTTACTAGCTGTGTGACCCTGGGCAAGTCACTTAACCCCGATTACCTTACCAAAAAAAAAGTGAAGAGACTAAAGGGACTGGACACGC